GGCGTGCGACCAGTGCAGGGGGGGGCACCTGAAAAACATGGGTGCTACTCCAAACAGGACCACACAAAAGGAAGTATTTTAAAACGCATTTTTAGAATAAACATCGTTTTCTGATAAAAATAAAATACTTCAAAACAAATACTTCAAAGTGAACTGGTTCAGGTATTTATGGATGGTTTTAAGATTTTAGATATGCAGTATAACCAGTTCTAATAGGCCAGTTCTTATCTGGGATTTAGGTAAGAATTAAACCCATTCTTTTTTTTAATATAAACAAGGCTTTAAAAACTACTACGGTTGCCAAACTAAGGTCAGTATCATTACTGAACTATAAGGGGATACAAAAATGTCCAAACTTTTGATGCCATAAGCCAGCAATTTATCAAATACAAATCACTGTAGGGTTTCTATTTTAATTATAGTCTTTGTCAGAGTAAGACAGTGGATTGAAAATGGAGTATTATCTTTAGGACAGATCATTGTTCATTTGCACATTAACTCTACCTTTGTGGAACCTGTACATAATGTGAAATCTTGGTGTAAGAAAATATCTGAGAGAAAAAAATAATTTGCAATGGCTGTGGGACTTTGTACTTATTAAGCAATTGAATTGCTGAAGAAAAATTTTGTAATTAAATATGTATTAAGAACAAAGTGCAATGCTGATGCTTATGGAGGATATTGAGCCAATGTGATTCTGGGTGGCTGGCTGGTCTCGGAGCTCCACTCTGGGTTTCTGGAAAAGGTCCGGATCTTCTGTACAGTTTGCAGTGTGGATGCACTGGGTGTGAATATTCCATTTTCCTTGAGAAGGAGCGGTCCTCATTTCAGCGTTTACCTCTGTGGCTCGTAGATCTCTACCTGAAGGAGAGCAGTCCCGGGGTGTCTTGGACGTTATACACGTTAGACAGACTGCCCAGTGTTGCGTCAGACAGACTGGTCAGTGTCACGTCAGACAGACTGGTCAGTGTCACGTAAAGCCTGATCTTGCAATCATTTTCCTGATGGCTAATAAATGCTTTGAGAAGACAACGCAGCTGCCTGATCTCGGATTCCTTCACCTCCTCTGATGTCTTCCACAGACATGCATTCTCATTTTCTCACACACCTGGGTTCAGCTGTAATCAAACGGCTTTAAGGAGTTCACTTTATGCATGTGGGAATTCAGCCAATGAGAAACCTGAGAATTGGCCATTCTGTGCAGTGAGAACGCCTGGGTATAACCCCCTCCCCCGACATCCCTGAAACTGTCTTCAATCTTTCCCAACCACAATATGTGTTCAATTAAAATCTCCCAATACAAAGTGCTGCGATGGACAGGTAGGTATCCTCGCAAACAATCACATCTGTCAAAGCGTGTTGACAAATAGTCAACCCAACTTACCAGGAGATCCTCTTCATGAAAACACTAAGTAGTTTCTCAGTAATAAAACAAATATTTTTTTGTCTGCAGTTCTCTCAGTTTACAACATATTTTGAAATGTACAGTGACTGCTTCACTTCCACACTGTTTTATACACTGTTTCACTGCTGAATGGAAACTGCTTACGAGCTGTCTGATGAGAACATGAGCTGGTGCGCCGTGCTCCTTTACCGCCGAAGCCGCCGTCACCCCCCCCCCCCTCCGGCTTTGTCCTCCCCTGCCCCTGTGGGTCAGTCTGATCCATGCCGGGCTGCCGCTCAGTGAATGGGCCGACATTTGCATTACAAATCCTCAGAAGAGCCTGCATTTTACGTCCAGCTGGATAGCATGTACAGACACTTAGCAATTAGGAAATGGAGGAAGCTCACTGCAGTGGGCTGTTTCTATGAAGCGTAAGGTTTACATAAGAGTAACTAAAATGGGATGTGGTTTGTGTGATTTTTTTTTAATAATGTCAGAAATAGCTGTAGGGACAGGGTTTGGAGCAGCATCCATATATGAAAATGAAAAGCGTAATTCTGCTATAGCGTGGTGTTTTAGTCATTCCTGTAGATACTGTTCCCAGCCAACCATAAGCTCCTCCGGACGGGACGTTCCAGCTCCTGTGTGAGCACGCGGAAAGTCCTCCTAACAGCGCCTGCATGAACAGACACAACGAAAAACACCACCGTCGATTTTAGCTAAATTACGCCTTTTATTTTCGTATTTCAACGGATGGACGGATGTCTCTCTGTAATACATTCACCGTGGCATACATGAGCGCTGCAGACGTTGAGGTAGCGCTCCAGCGGACATGTAATAAGCATCAAACTGGCTGACCATTATGTTTTCCAGTCCAGATTTCCTGCACCAGCCCTGATCCTCAACAGGCCTGAGCCTATTAGCTCTCCGACGGTTTAGACTCTCACGGATATGAAGCTCCCAAAGGCTTTCCCCATCCCCTTCATGGTGCGTGCAGCCTTCCTAACCCTAACCCTTCCTGCGGGCAGCTGCAGCAGAGCTACTCCCACAGAGAGCAGAAGAGTATCTAGCTTGTTTTAATCAAGCAGTTGTGAGTTGTTTTGCAGTGGCTGGAGTGCCAATCCCGCCACTAACCCCCAAAAATTGTTTCCCTGCAAGTTGGAGGACCGGATGCAGTTTAACGTCAAACCCAGGACACAATTACAGTCATTTACCAAAAATAGGTCCTTTATTTAATTTTTTTTGTTGATACACATTCCCCTTCTGTTTTAACAGCAATGGATGGACGCTGCTTTGTTGAAACCCTTGCAGCACACAGAGGCACAGGCATGGTTTCGGCCTGCTTTGGCATTTATTCTGAACCTTCTATTTACAACAATGGAAATGTCTGTTCTGAATAGTCATAGTAGTAGTATTTGGAAATGGGGAAGTAAACCCTGCATTTGCATGTCACTTTCAACACAGTGTTTATATATACAGTAAAACTGGTCTAAGTCGCCGGCTTATAACTCGTCAATGTGCACAAGTCGACGCTCAAGCAAAAGTCCCGATTTTTCCTAATGATGTTTCCTTTAAAATTCCTTGTGTAAATCGCCGCTTTTAAGTCGTCAAATTCCCTTAGTCGTCACCTAAATCCCGGTCCCGAACAACACAAATGAATGGATTTTCTTACCTGTAAGTCGACACCCCAATCGCTGCATTCCCGCCGCCTGCTTGTCACCACGGCAATGTAGAAACGGGGAATCCCCACCTATCGCACTAGTCGCTCCCTGGTCTTAAGTCTCGCGTGTATAGTGCGGTGTAGTAGAGGTATGGTGTTATATTTACTAGTCGGCAAAACGGCGAGATAGACATAAGTCGCCGAAGTGTCGATTTTATAAGTCGGCAAAACGGCGAGTTATATTTACTAGTCGACAAAACGGCGAGATAGACATAAGTCGCCAAAGTGTCGACTTATCTCGTCAATTCTCTTAAGTCGTCACTTTTAAGATGTATATTATATGTGTGTGTGGATGATCATTCAGCCTAAGAATGTCGGCATATGCTTTTTGGTTTGTAGCGTACACTTCTCCTTGCATTCATTTCCTCTGGCGCTGCCACGCAATATAATAAAAAAAACTAAAAATGGCAAAAGTCTTGTATTTTGTTTGGTTACTTATGGTTAAGGTTAGGGCTGGGAATGGGTTAAGGTCGTCATGTTGAGATTAGAGTTTTCCCCAAAGAAATGGAGAGTCCCCACAAAGATATAGTTACAAACCTGTGTGTGTGTACCTGCTTTGAAGGACTGGTGACCCGTCCCCTACCTTAGATCCTTTGCGGCCTGGGACATGTACGGATGCTATTTCATTACACACACACACACACACACACACACACACACACACACACACACACACACACACACACACACCCTACCTACCTCCATAACAGTAGCTCACATAAATGCCGTGAACAGGAAATTGGATGGATAAAAACATTTAAAGGCTACAAAGTCCGAAAACCCCCTGCTTTGTGACTGCTGGTTAATGCGCCTTCACACCTCGACAAGGCCCAGGAATGTTTACTCTCAGACGTTACACCCTCCTGTCCACAGTCACGTCGCTCGCGTCTCACCTCCCGTTGCTGGTATCCCGTCTTATTTATTTATTTTTTCATTTTTAACAATTAAATATTTCGTTTAACCAAATGCGACAATTTAAGAGGAAACTAGTTTTCACTTTGTAAAATGTTATATTCTCATTTTAATCAAATGCTCATTTAATGGGCACATTGGGAGGTTTTAAATGTAACAGGACATCTGGGACGTGGCCGAACACGCCTGGGATATGAAGCGCGTGTCGTGCGCCACTCCAACAGCAGAGGGCGCCAGTGCCCCATTTTCTTCGGCCAGCACTTTAAAGTTACTTCGCACGGTTCGCACCTCTTACATTTCCATTTTAAATAAACGTAATGTGCCAAGTTCTTTAAATGCCAAATTATATATTTCATAACTATGAATATTGTGCTACAAGTGTGTGCTTTTAATAAAACCACACAGGACATAAACACATGCATTTTAAAAGATAATAATAATAGCCGCATTCCTTTATAATTAGTATTAATCTTATGTTTCGGTTAATGACAGTAAAACAGGCAGAGAGCAGAAGCCAAGGAGCCGCGCAGGTTTTCCGTGGGCCGGCGGAGCCGGGCAGCGCCATGACGCTGCGCCGCGGGCGGCTCCACCCAGCTCGCAGCTCGGCCAAACATGGCGATGGCGTCGCTGTTCTGAGCCGCACTTCGCCGTCTTCTGCCGGACAGGAGGGTTTTAAAAGAGTGAGAGGAGAAAAAAAGAAGAGAAAAAAGAAAGCAGAGCAGTGGGAAGTGGACATGAAAAGATGATGCGGGGTGTCGGCGGCGAGCGCGGGGCCGGCATGGCGCTGTGAGCGATCCGAGCGGCCGTCTCTCGG